CGCAGTTGAAACAGGAAAACCTGATATAAGTCAGCAACTAAAAACATATTTTTCAATGTCACAACACCTCCCCTCCCCCTCACTGTCCAAAGATGACCCCCTCGCTGAAAATACCCAATGTGCGATGGGCCGTGCTCATATATGTTATATATGATCAGGGCACCGAATGACCCCTGCTGAGCTGCTTCTAGCAATTTTTTTGGGACTTGGCGGGATTTTGGAGCAGTAGTAGCTGAATAGTGCTCAAATATTTACTATTAAGCAAATACTGCTGCACTTTTTCATCCGAGTAGTAAAGACAAAAAGACAGAACTTTAATTGTAAACTGGCTTTCTCAATCCTATACTTTTCTTTCCCTGGCTTACAAAATGGTTCTGCAAGTGTTCACTTTTGTTTTCCGCCGGCTGTTACTACATCCCGGGGGCTTTCTAGGTCCACCAGTAAACAAAAACAAATAAACAGAGAGTTGTTTTAGAGTCTGGTTGCCGATGTAGCCTTATAATCCCCAAGTCTCTCATTTCCTCATTCAAAAAGTGTTTTCCTAAAGTAAACGGGAAATCTTGCGATTGAAGCTTGAGGGTAAAAGCAAACACTGCGTACATAGGTCAGCTGCACTAGCTCGAAATCCAAATATCCTTGGCGCAAACCCCTCTTTACGTGGACTATCAACACGCGAGATCGAAAATTACACCAATTAATGAAATAATCGTCATTCAATGGCAAAAAGTAGGCAAAATGGGATTATTATAGAACAAAAGTAAGCCTTGCCACAACATCATCTAGTTGTACTATTAATGAGACATCATAGAACAATCAAGTTTTTTTCTGCTTCAGAAAACCTGGCTGTCTCCATGGTGCTTACACACCTCCCTCTGAACCTCCAGAACACTTGTCATTGACCAGCTACAGTATCAACATGCCATGAGGTCCGCCATGAGGTTCGCATAACAACGAAAAATGGGGGCCCTTCTCCAGGTCGCTCATAAAAAGCGCACTTAACGTCAAGATATGCTCGATATCCTAGAGATGGATGGGGCGTGGCTGCTTATGTCATTTGAAGGCGGCGCTGCAGCACTTCTGGTAATGTATTGCAGTTCTGGCACATTTGTAGACATGCCTTTGTCTAGCATCACAAAGGATGGCCCTTGTATCGATTTGTCGCACAAAAACTCACTTCGCGCTTCGCTCATAACGAAATAAGTTACCACGCCCTATCCAGCGGCATGTTATGGAGTGTATGTGGGTTCTGCTGTCAATCTTTAGGTGCCAAACTAGTCGCCAAGTCGAGAACGACACAAGAGGGCCGCGTTTTCCCAACTGTTCTTAAGGATTACATGGCAGATGAGGGAATAACACTAAGCGGCTGGACAGACAAGGCAAAGAAAGCAAGAGAGAACACAGATGAGTCAGGCAGCAAAACACCATGCGGCCCTTGCAGTGGGCGTCTTCCGCCCTAATGCGCGTGGTCAGTCCCTTGCCCCAAACTCATGGCCACCTTATTTCAAGAAGCAAAAAATAGAGCGATCTCCAAGCGACACATCTTATACACGAAAGGTATGATATCGTCCCTATCAAAGGACGAAATGAGGCGTTCCTGTGACGTCCGTGTATTCCCCGCTGACTCCCCTTTCTCATACATGCGTCTCTACCTCTCATTCGCTCGAACAAATGCAGATTCCGCAGCCACGCCTCTTGTATTCCTGAGATATGGGCTGTAGCACTTAGCTGGTCAAGAGCAATGCCTTCAAACAACCCAGTCGCAAAAACAACCATGGCAGAGAATATTTCACGGTATTTCTTAGCAAAAAGGTCTCAAAACATGATAGAATATTGCCGATTGTAAAATAAACAGTTGGCAACAAAGCTGATCATTCAAAAGAAGAGTCTTAGGGTTGCCAAGCTGGCTTGTTTTTTCCCTTCATGTGATAGAACAGCTGTATGATGGAATTTGTTTTGTTTTCCAGAAATTCAAGATTAGAAAACTAACAAGTAATTTAGATAAAAGAACTTACCTACTACTATGAATAAACATGCCACAAGACGTTTGTACATATAGCGATGATGATAAAAAGTGTAGAGGGCGAGAGTGTTTGTTGAGAGAAGAATAAAAAGTGCAATAACTCCGATAGCCGCTTGAGCACGATAGAAATCTGAAACCGTCCACGATTAAGAGCAGAAGCAAAAGTTTCTTTTTATCAACAGTCAGTCGATAACCTTCTGTTTGATAGAGTAAGGGTTAGTATTTCATCGCTGAGGACGAGGTAGTATTAGGTCATCCCATTCAAAAGTGCCGAGACATATAGAGGAATGGCAGAAAAGCAAAGGGGATAGGGAAGCGGGCTACTATACCATTTGGAGGCTAGTACCTTTAGCTGTGTATCTGTGAAATTTGGCGAACCTACCCACAGAAGTTCTCGAGAAATTGAAAAGAAGCCTGAGTGGTGAAAATCAGCGCCCGATTTTCAAATCAGACGTCATAAGAGGGAAGTGCGCTGCTCAAATTCGACCGGCGCCGGACCAGTAGTTGTGTGTAATGGTGTTCTCGAAATACAAGGTGGAAGGTTTGGTTCAGGAGCCCGAAGAAGGAAAAGGAAAAATTTGTTGTCGTGGATGGTCCCATAATGTTCATCCTGCACAAGAAAAAAGGGTGGATGAAGTCAAGCGCTGAATGTCTGATCACAGAGCCTTTGTCGAGCTTCCCCGCGAGTCTGACATCCCAGCTGCAACTGCTGCCCGAGTTATGTCCGATAAACTGAGGATGGTTAAGAGGGTGTGCACATGGGTACCTAATTTCCTGTAGAAACACGAACGCA